TATATATATATATATATATATATATATATAATGCTCATTTTTAAGGTTATTGCGCTTTAATAGAAGGTATTTTGTGTATTTTTTTTATTTTAGGTACAAGTGATGGAGTTTAAGAGTAAGAGGAGCAAAAATGAAACATAAGTGGTCAAACAGAGCAAAGGAAGGAAGTCGCCAGGTAGTTAAATTTAACTTCTAGAAGGCTAGCGCTTAGGTGACAAAAATGATTTTAGATTTTGTGCATTGAATTTGGATGAATTTTGATGAGGTTCTTGAAGTGACTCTTGGTGATTTTTATGGCTTTATTTAAAGAGAATATTGGTTGGTTGGAAGAGGGTTGTTAGTAAGAGTATATGTGTGTGTGTGTGTGGCGTGAGTGTGTTGGAAAGAGTCTTTATAAAGTGTTTTGGTGTGTTTATTTGTGTAAGAAGTCATCAAAGGAACTTCAAAGGATTCACTAGGGGAGAAGTCTAAAATAAGTACTTTGTATTTTTGTTTGAGTTTTGTTTTACTATGTAAAGTTGGGTTTTTATATAAATCAAGTTTTGTTGTGTTATCCTCAAGAATTCTGAGTAGTTTTCCTTATTTTTCTTCTTGTAATAAGAAGTAATCATACATAGGATTAGAATTATTTAAGATTTCTCTTATTCCATATTTGAGATGATTCATTACTTCGTACTTCATTTACATATTCGATATGGTCAACTGATATGTTATAACTTTTTTGTGAATCCATAATGACCCAGGATGGCTCTGGTTCCTCAACTAATAAAACTCACATTAATTTAGTGGGTGAGAAGGTAATCTATTTGTTAGTACAAATAGATAGGGAGATAAGCTTGGATGAGCATAAATTAATGATTCAAGGGTGACATGCTAGAACCTTAACCAATTTGATCTATAGTTTGAAACTTAAGGACTGATTAGTCCTATAAAAAGGGCACAGTGAGTAATATTGAGGGGAGAGGCTAGAACCTATCCAACATGAGCTAAGATTTAAGAACTAAACTTTAGATTAATCAATGTTTTTTATGCACTCGGAAGAGGGTAAAGGATAAGTACACTCCTATTTTTCACAAAACTTCATTTTAACTTTTAAATATTTGATTCCTACACTGATCATGATCTCTTTGTAAGGGGAAAGAACTTTTTACATAAATTGAACTTTTCTACGTAAAATTAGTTTAGAAATCAACATTTTTCTTTAATCCTTGAAATATAATTAGTAGGAATTTAGTAACTTCTTTTTGCAAAAAAACTTGCAACTATATTTTCTAAATAACTGTTTGGAGTTAAAGTAAAGTTTTATTAAGTCCATAAAAGAGCTTCACCTTCCCTATGGGATCGATACTAGGTTTGTAAAGACAATTTTTGTGTAAACTATTAATCAAATTTTAAATTTTATATCATATCATTTACACACACTAGCCGCTAAATAAAAATTGGGTGATGTTTTTTGCCATATTTTGGAAAGAAAATAACAACATAATCACGACTATGGTCAAGTTTTTAGCATCGTTGTCGGGGAAGGAAGGAAGTAACGAAACTTTTAACTTATAAATTTTATTTGAACAGAAAGACTTATTTTAGAAAAATTTTAGTGTCATTTTTCTATAAGCGCTTGTTTGCATAATAAAATAATAATAATAATAATAATAATAATAATAATAATAAAATAATAATAATAATAATAATAATAATAACAAAAAAAATTAAAAACTGAAAAAAATAAAAAAAAATAAAATTTTATTTTTAAGTGTTTTAATTTATTTTAATTTTATTTTCTCAACTTTTTCTTTTGTACCTTACGATTCTGAGTTAGACCAAACCATAAGAAAAATCCAAAAATGAAAAGAGCTTCATAATTTACAAGAAATGGCGAACAAATCACAAAATAACTTTAATAATCAAATTGTTGAAAATGAATATCATCATATACAAAAACTTTTAAGGGACTATGTCAACCCTAAAGCAAATGAAATTCACTTAAGTATACAAACACCTACTGTAGCGACTAACTCATTTGAACTTAAACCTGCCATAATCCAAATGACACAAAATAATCAGTTTGGGAGAACGCCATCTAAGGATCCAAACTTACATCTTGCCAGTTTTTTAGAACTGTGTGCCACATTTAGTATGATGGCGTATCAAACGATATTGTTAAACTTAGAGTTTTTTCTTTTTCTTTAAGAGATAAAACTAAGATGTGGTTAAATTCACTAGCATCTGTATCTATAGAACTTGAGGAGATTTAACACACTTAGCTAAGTATTTTCTACCTTAAAAAATTGTTAAGCTTAGAAATGATATTACCTCATTTACTCAATATGAAGCTAAGTAAATATATGAAGCTTAAGAAAGATTTAAAGAACTCCTCAGGAAGTGTCCACATCATGCTTTACTAAACTAGTTGATTATTCAAACATTTTATGATCCCTTAGATCTATTATTGATGTTGTTGTTGGAGGTTCATTAATTTTGAAACCATTTGATGAAGCTTATGAATTAATAGAAGAGATGGCTACTAACAAGGTTCAATGGCACTTTGAAAGGGAAAATCCTAAGAAAGTAGTCAGTGTTCATGATACTGATGCAATTTCAATTTTGGCATCTCAAGTTGCTGCGATATCTAGGAAGTTAGAACAGTTTGGAATGAACTTAACTCAAACAACTCATGTGATTGGAGAAAACTCATTAGGACATATGATTGATTCTCAATCATCATTTGAGACTTTAAATGCAATTAATAAAAGAACTAATAACCCATATTCTAACTATTATAACCCATGTTGAAAAAACCACCCTAATTTTAATTGACATAATAATTATGGTGGTGGAAATCAACAATGCAATGAGGGGACAATCAAGCGAAGCCATGGGGAAACTGGAACAACCAGGGTAATGCTAACGTTAGACCTTCTTATCCTCTTGACTTTAATAATAACCAACAATTTAAGGAGAAGAACTTGTCTATAGAAAAAATGGTGTTAGAAATGGGGAATCAATTACAAAGTCAAAGTGTGGTTATAAAAAATATTGAGAATTAGCTCGGACAAATTGCTAACTCAGTTAGCA